TGTAACGTCACGATCTGCGACGCAATTTTCGCTTCCGCGTCTCGTATATACGAGTTTGTCCTTACATGGAAATTTTTATGCAGCAAAGGCGCACTATCATTGTTGGTTCGTCCGCGTGTTGTTCGATTTATTGAAATTGTCATCTTTGATAATGACTTGTGTAAGCCGAAAGCTTAGATTGGATTTAAACATGTATCAATATGATGATTTCCTTTCGTTTTTCAACGATAATGTGATTAATATGAAAGGAACTTACTTAAAATAAAGACACAACTACTCTATATTATTTAATGAAACATGCATTAATAAAATGTTGCTGCCTACACATATATATATATATATATATATATATATATATATATATATATATATATATATATATATATATATATATATATATATAGCATTATCATTCATTTTTATGACAGTTCTTACAATTTACAATTCATTCTCTCACTGGGATTCAAGTTAGTCTGTTTCTATAAATATATTGCTTTTTAGCAAAGGATAATTGACCGGAAATAGGAAGATCTATTCTTAATTAAGAAGCACAAGCTCGAAGGCAAAATGATTGAGAAAAAAAATCACCAGATATCGAAAGGCTGAATCAACGAACTGGACGCCACATTAATGCAGTACTAACGTCTCCCGCGGTAGTTTCGACTCAGTTACCTTCCATAACAGTAATTCATCGCAAAGATAGGTCTCCATCGATATTTTAGCCGAGATCTTTTTAGTTATCTGCAACTAACTGTCTGCATTTACTTTGAGATTACAGGTAGTTTCATATGTCAAAAGATTCATTAGAATTATGAATTACATTTCTATCACTAATAATAATAATAATAATAATAATAATTATATTAATATTAATAAAAATAATAATAGTAATAATAATAATAATAATAATAAAATGATAATAATAATAATAATATGATGATGATGATGAAGAAGAAGAAGAAGAAGAAGAAGAAGGAATGAAGATGAAGAAGATGTAGAATCATTCTG